CAACAGTTTTTGCTAGAGCCCGTTCATGCCCTTGTATCCGCTGATGTTGACTCCCCCTTGCCTTTTGTATTTTCCGTCTTTGCCAGTATAGGATGTGTACGGGTACTCTTTATCTGTTCGCACTGCATGATCCCTTGTGTAGCTGAAAGCGTTGTCCATCAACCCTCCTAAATATCTTTCGTTGACGTACTTACAGAAGATTTGACCTTCGATAGCTCCCACGTGCAAATATGGAAGTTTCGTTTGATAACTCATACAATGTTTATCCTAAGTCTGTCACAAACAGTGCCGTTTGATCTCGTCATGACTCGCCAGTAAAATGTCTTTTGATGAATACTTGTACACGATCAAACCTGTCCGTGGGAGACATAGGAATTTGGTGCAAGTTGATGACTAGTAAGGGACTCCCAGACACACGTTCAGTATGGGTGACCGAGCCTTGTCAGGAAACAATTCGTCCAGCAGAGGTATGACGTAACTTGAAAAGTGACATTATTTCGATTTTTTTTTGGATATTATGTAGACTTTTCAACATAAATAAATAAATAAAAACGCCTTTATTTTAAACTCGGCGAAGGCCAGCTATGCTGTTAACTTAACCGAGCATGTAAAAAGTAACAACAAGCCAAAAAGAAAAGTAATATGACAAGAAACAAGTTTTACATTACATTAATTTTAGAATATTACATAACAACAATGAACAATAATAACAACAGATGTACGTATACAAAGAAAATAAGCAATAATAAACAACTTATACTTCACAGAAGCAGTTGTTTCAGTTTTCGTTTGAACATATTAGGAGACATATCTTCAAATTGACCTATATTCTATTGGTTTAGAAGCTTGACTGATGTATAGGAAAATGAGCTTTGAGTCATGGTTTTAGTTATTTTAGGTATTTCATAAAGTACATTAAAGCGTGTTGCACGAGAGTGAATCAGATTTCTACGAGTTAATTTTTCAAACAGATATGGAGGGCTTTTAGTTTTAATCAATTTATGAAGAAAGCAAGCAAAATGCAGCTTTTCTCGATTGGAAACATTCAACCGTTTCAGTTCGGAAAGTTTATGACTGACATGATCGTGACGTCTAAGCTGGTAAATAAGTCGTATGCAAGAATTCTGCACTTTTTGGAGTTTATCCTTAGTAAATACATCTAAGCAAGGACCATACACATAGTTGCAATAGTTAAGGTGACACAAGACCAGTGCTTCGCAGAGAACCTTTTTTAAGTTAAAACTAAGAATATCTTTACTTTTGTAAATATTGCGAAGGTTAAAATAGGCTTTTTGTAGAAGCCTAGACACATGACTTCGGAAACTAAGCTTGTTATCAAAGATAACGCCCAAATTTTTATATTCCTCAACAACCGGTATTGCCACGCCATCCATTGCTATCACCAAGTTTAAAGACGCCCAATCTTTAGCTGGCCCAAAGTAGATTATGGCTGATTTATTAGGATTCAATTTCAAGCCATGATTAAAAGAGTATTTAAAAACTGAATCCAAACACTCGTTTAGCCTCCTAGCCGCTTCAATTGCGTCCGACTTAACAAAAGAAAGCTGAATCTGTGTATCGTCAGCGTATCTATGATTGTTTATGTCACCAAAGCACTTCGACATATCAGCAAATGATAAAAAATAAAGGACCCAAAAGTGATCCCTGAGGAACTCCTCTATCCACGTTCAAGGGTTTTGATTTAAGCCCATCAATTGAGACCGACTGCGATCTGTCATCCAAATAACTACGAATAAGTTGAATAGTCTTAAGTTTAAATCCATAGTACAAAAGTTTTGCACACAGCAATGCATGGTTCAGGGTATCGAAGGCCTTGCTAAAGTCCAACAACACCAATGCCGAAGTTTCACCCCTGTCCGCAGCCAAAAGAATGTCATCTAGAACCTTCAACAGAACCGTGGTAGTACCAAACCCTTTACGGAATCCAGACTGCAACTTGGGTAATAAATTCTTATCTGTGAAATAAGTAATGATTTGCCTATAAATAAGCTTTTCAAATACTTTAGACAGCACTGGTAGTATATTAATTGGTCGCAAATCAGAGACATCCTTAGGACTGCTAATTTTAGGCAGCGGCAGGACCACAGCCGTTCCCAATTGGGCAGGAAAGATGCCCTTTTGTATGCAGGAATTAAATAAGTTAACCAGCACGGGTAAGATCGTTGGACAACACAACCTCACCATGTCAAGGCTAATTCCGTCTGCACCAGAGGCGTTTGACCCAATCTCCGATATTGCCCGGAAAACGTCATCTTCACTAACGAGTTTTAATTCAAATTCTGCGGTTGTACATTTGGAATTAAGATATTTAGAAGTAGTATTCGTATCGACAGTGCTAGGTATTTGTCGCACCGAGTCGATAAAATATTGATTAATTAAATTTGGGTTTTTAAGATGGTGGAATTTCTATATTTTTTTTAGATCTGTTATAGATATTAAGTTGGTCTAGTGCACCGACGATATATAGTCTCTTTATAGTCGGTGGTCTAGTGTCTTCCACATGTCTTTGGATTTTTTAGTACGACTGACAAAATCAATATAAACTCTCTTTTCTTGTCGAACAGCTGACGTAAAAAGTTCCTCATTTCTTTGTAGGATGCCCAATCCCGTAAATTTTTAGTACGTTTATATTTAGAGAAAAGATAGTTACGGTGATTCTTCATCGCACGCAACGCATCAGTAAACCACGGAGAAGGTGGCCTGGTAACTTTTTTCTCACATATTGGCGCATGAGAATCAAAAAGAGTAAATATCATATCTGAGAGAATTGCAGTCTTCTGGTTAACATTATCACAGTCTAACGACGTCAACTTGCAACTAGCTGTCGTTCACTTAATGCTTACTTGCAGCAAGCACAGAATAAACTATCTAGCCTATCAAGTCATCTAGCTGATCTTTTTTCAGTTTCATAACGTACAGTGGTCGGTGACTTGTTGGAGACTGTATCTCAGATCAGGCCGTGCGAATGTCGGCTATACAGGGTGACTTCGAAGTTGAGTCATTTATTTTAACAGTGAGTAGATCTGATCAAAAGAAATGTTTTTTCCTTTACCATTTTTCTGGTAAAATTAAAGTAACAAAGTTATAGCCCTTTGGAAGTTTGAGTACCGCCCTGTCTCAATAATAATATCATGTGCTCGTGTTTGGCAACAACGGATATAGTCCACCTTATCGGTTCATCGCATCGGAAACAAAAAAGAATTTGGAACGATGTTTTTACAATTAGCTTATTCAGTTCAGTTATACATACAGTCAGTGTCAGTCGCGTGTGAATAGTGTCTGATGCGTGGCTCAAACGAAATAAAAAATGGCACATGTTTATGCGGATCGGTTTCCCAATCGAGTGCAACCAACCCCTCGTGCCTTTGTTAATGTAGTACAACGGGCTCGTGAATCAGGTGACTTAAGACCTCACAGGGGACCTCACGATCAAATACAGGTCCGCACTGAAATACTTGTCGGGAGGATACTTTATAAAACAAGGTAAACATTTTTTTTATTTTTTTTTTATTTTTACACACATATTTTGGTTTATCTTCCTTCTACAATCATTATCTGAAAATTAATGACTCAACTTCAAAGTCACCCTGTATAGCGCAGCAGAACGGATAAAATTTGTGATTGCCATACAAACAGGATTTTTATAGGTTTTTTACGTAATAATCCTGCCGGCTTGTTGGAATAATACTAGGGCATTATTTAATATGAGCGTTGTCCGTATCTTTGAAATCGAGATAAAGGTAAAATAATCACCGTCGGGACAACATTAAAAACCTGTTAAACTCACAGCAGACCGCGAGTCATTTGCAATTTTGATAATATTAGCATAAGTCCCTATATTTTCTTTCTGACATTGCTTATATGTTAGAACTATGGCAAAAATATTAGCCAACTACACTACTCAAAAAAATTAAGGGCGCAATAAAAAAAAATCCAAATTCTTCGGAGATTTTTGAGTTGCTGTATTTTGCCTAAAAATGGTATTATCTAGACTTGAAAAAAGTAATTTGAAGCTTTAAGATTCTAGTTTTCAGTCATTCTTCTCGAAAAAAAATTATTGCAAAAGTTTTGCCTTCTCCTTTTTAGTCCACGGGCTGTTAGGTCATATCCAATAAAGACAACAAAAGAAGAAAAATTATTTTTCCATCTTCAACCAGATTGCATGATGTTTTGATACAAACACTTTGCTCCGTTGATTCCCATCAAATTTTGACCAACCGGTCCCGAGAAACCGGACAATAGATCGATCTGCCATCATTCAGGGTTATTGGGGTATATTAAGATTTAAAAAAACTTAAAACCATTAGCCATCTAATTTGCAGTTCCAAGAATGCAGTAGATTCTCCAAAACAGGGCAAAAAGTAATATCTATGACTCTATTTACATCAGCAGTAAATAGAAACAAATCTCAAAGATTGCAATCAAATTTTTTTGGAGACTTATTCCAGTTTTTGGAAATACCCTTACGTTCTTTGTGCGATCACTGATTACCGAGATGTTCGTGGTCCATGACAAGCGGATCCTTTTTCATTCAAAATCGGATATCTCCGCGCCAAATGATCGTATCGAGATTTTAAAAACGGAATATTGAAGCTGAATAAACGGGTTCCGAACCATATGATTTCTTAACACAAAAAATGTTTTCCAATCCCGTGCACTAAAAAGAAGAAAGCAAATATTTTGCAGAACATTTTTCTTGCAATCTATGAGAATTGCAGGAGAACCGTTGTTCCTAACATAGCATTTTATAAGATGGCTTTTATCGATATTTCCACAAGCTCTTAGTCTGTTTGAAAGTGTTACAAGTTTTTGATGTCACCATGATCCAGTGATCTGGCTAATATTCTAATGGATTTTTCTTCTTTTGAGTTCAAATTCGCGATCCCTTCTAAGCCTTTCGGCCACCTGATCAGTTAACATAATAGTACGTAACTTTTGAATTGATCGGAGCTGGCATATATGTATGTTCTGAATTTTTTCTAAGGCTTGCTAAGGGGGAATACCAAAAGAAATATCAAGCTTACCGCACTAAAAGCCCAACAAGATCCGCAACGCCCTTGATCCTTCACTGTGGTGACAGTGCCCTTTGCTCTCCAATCTACTTCTTTCGGTAGATGTACATTGTCATCCAGTAATGCTAACTTATCGCCGCGACTCGGAATTTGGTCTTTCTGCAAGCTCAGCATTTGACGAAATTCTTCCTGACTCAAGTCACCAAATTGGTTAATTCCAATCTCGAAGGTTTCCTCGCCATTGCTGAAGCTCTGGTTATGCTCATCTATGATTCGGAGGTTGGACTTGAAGATATCGAAACGTCTCTTTTCCTCAAGGAGACCTCTCTAGGTTTTATCATGTTGCGTCTAAGGTAAGAATATGATTAATCAATATTATATTGTCATGAGTGAACACCACCCTATTGAAGGTTGATCCTTAGGCTCCACCTCTCCAATAAAGCTACATTCAATTTATGGTTTTCATTTTCTACTCAATCCCTTCTAACATAAAAGCTCTTGCTGAGGTGCCAGGACTCGCAAATGCGGTGGGTAATTGAGCAACTCAAAGCCTGCTGCTTAGTGCATCCTTAGCTCTACAGGTGTGTCTGGGAGCAGTATCCTGATGAGATAATACGCCACTCATTAAATTGTCCAACGTTTGAAATCGAGTCACTTTTCTTTGAGGTGTGCTACATAAATGCACATAGCCGCCTACAAAAAAGCATTGTGCTCCTTACGGACAGATGGTCGTTTGGTACATACAAATGTTTTTGAGAGCATTTGAAATAATTTTGTCATGAGCGATACCGCTTTCAGCCCACAACTCAGTGCTTGGGGGAACGGGATTTGGGAATAACGAGAGGTACACGACCGAGCAGTCGCTTATATTTTGATGCCGAATAAATGCCATCTGACCATAGTATTAGCATATTTCAGATACTGGCTACGCCACCACTCACAGACTAGAAAAAAAGAAGGAATGATAATTGCCTCTGTCATGAATTGAACTCGCGATTAAAGTGCCATCTATCACCAGACTCGACCACTACGAAAGTGAAAACAGCAAGCTTTCTGTTGAAACCTTGTGCCAGTTTGCATAAATAGTTGCTACTGTCAGGAATTAAACTTGCCATATTCAGTCTTCAAGGCATAATGTTCTACCACTGCGCCAAAGTAAGCGGTTGGCTGTCTTGCAATACCGATAAATTTTTGTATATTTCAGTATGCATTACCGAGGTCATCGATTTTGGGATTACCCTCGCATATGAATTGCGATTGAAATCACATATTTTCTGAAAAACGCAAAAAACGTACATTGATGAGGGCTGGAAACGCAGACGATTTGTATATTCTAAAACTGAAGAAAATATGTATGCACTACATTGTATGGTGATCTTGATAACACGGCAATTTTTACTGTCCATGAATTGTGAGGTTAATTTTATTTTAAACATCTTCAAATAGCAAGTATTTATTTTATTAATTTCAAGAACTCGCTCTGAAATATTGATTTGTGTCATTTTACTATTGCAATTTTGTAAATGGTTTTTCCTCTTGTGTAATAATTTTGGTAATGAGTAATGGTCTAAATGATGTGGCAAGAGTTGATATTTTATTTTAAATATAAAAATATAAACCAAATAATGATATGGAATTTATTATATTCAACCTCTGCAAATCTTATAATATCGACATTGGTGTAATTATTTTTATTCAATATTATTCTCATAGCTTTATTTTGTAGAACTTGAAATGTTGAGAATACAGCTTCATAGGCAGGGAACAAGACAGTTGAACGATAGAGAAAATGCGGAGAATAATTGTACTATAAACTAATTTTATGGTATATGTAGAAGCTCTATGAAAATAATTTGTTTTTTCGGCAATTTTTGAAATAGTGTATTCAAAGTGATCCTCAAGCTCCTAATGTGTAACTCTACCACAAATATTGTGCCGGGACAATTTTTGTGGTTTTTGAAGTATAGGGTGCTAGAGTCGAAAATAAAAAGCAAACCCTCAAAAAACTAGTGAAGACGTTTATTTCAAGATTAATTTAAAGAACAAAAAGAATCCTAATCCAAAATGGGATAGGAAGCTAGCGTAGCAACACCACAAGTGTTTCCGTCATTTCTCTTTAGCATGAAGTATCCATCTTCTCCCCAGTTTCTTCCCCAGCTGTTCTTTATGAGCCAGTAATCCTCACTATATGCAACCACAAGAACACCATGGCTCAAATCGTAAAGTCCGTTTTTGCAACCGCATTTCTTGGTTATTACTCCTGTAGAGTAAAATATCAAGTAACTGGCGTCCACTGCCACAGAGACTGGTCCTATTAACGCTGTAGGAAAAAAAGATCATTCATAGTCAATATGTAGCGTTTTCTAAAAGTAAGCTAAAATACTCGATACTCAAGAAGTCAATTCTGTATGCCTTAAGCGTCTTTTATTTTTAGATACAGGATGGTAAAGTCTTGGATCTGAGCTAAGTATGTCACGCTACTTCAGTCTCGCAACAAAGATTATCTTTATATTTCTCTTTAACTTATGGTTTGCGTGTAAAAAATAAGAATCATTTCTCTAGATGGGCCAATATAATATTAGTCCAACCATTTGTTGTTCAAAGAAGGGATTGCCTGGGGACTTTTGAGGAAGTTTTGGTACGTTGTATGTATATGACAAGCTTACAAACTAAATAAGAGAAATAAACTTATATACATACTTAGATTGCTTCGTTCGATAGTTGCGGGCTGTGTCATCCCTGACACGGAAAAGTTTACTTTATCACAGAGGCGTACCTACCGCCGTATCAATGTTACAGGGACCTCAGCTTATAGGAGCCCCAACGTGCGAAAAAAATGCGTGTTACTGTTTTTCAAAACTTCACGCAAGTTTTCAGCCAGTACGCTGGATCAAAAATTCTCAAGCACCAAACTTTATAGACCATGTCATGCATTTTTACGTTAATAAATTGCTCTCTCATAATCTTTTTTTAGAACAATTTTCGCTTTTTAGGGATAAGATATCTTATTTTTATGTATTTTTCCAAGAAAGTAGTAGTACATTCATATTGTGTTCCAGTTTTCCATCATACAAAGTCCGCATTTTAATGGGGTCTTGTAAGTAACACTTTTTCCTCAAGGGATTCATTAAAGAGATGTTGAAGTTCAAAAATAAAAAACATTTTTTTTAATATCTTCAAAACCGCCAACTGGAATGAGCTAAAATTTGGTATGTGGATTTAACCAAGTATTTCCCACATTCAGAAGTCTTTATTGAAAACTAACGTGCACCAGTGGCGGAGATACAAGAGATTACTGGCATTATTTTTCCAAATCCAAGTAGTACGCCACTTTTTTTTTTTTCGAAACGCGCAATTTTTCTAATTTGACCTTCAAGTTGCTAGAAATAGCTACTCCCGCGTTTTATCCCTAGAGTGCACTGTCTTCGTAAAAATAAAACAAATTAGATCATTCATAAAAAGTCAAAATACAATTAGGTTCTAAATAAAATAGGAGGCCTTGATACCAACTTGACGTGTCTTGGGAGATAGTTTGTCAAGGTTACGTGTTATACAGTTGTTATCGTTACTACTTCCTTTTTGTTTGTAAAAGTCAAGTAAAGTGTTTTGAAAAGGAATTTAGCAATGATGAGTACGCTGATATTATTTTTGGGTCCGGGTTCTGTAGCGGCTTCTCGGGAGTGTCAACGTGGATTTCCTAAAAGACGCCAACCTACCCCAAAGGTTTTTACGCCTTCATTTCTAAGACTTCGGTAATATGAAATTGCCAAACTTGGCGATGCTTGTGGTCTAAGAAATGCGGAGGTGCACAAGGGCCCGTCGGAGATTCCTACGTGCTGGCTCCTTAAGGTGGCCGGAATGCCTCTAGTTTCATGTTTCAATCATTCATTCATAACCCGTACATTGTGAAAATATGTACTCAGGTCGTTTGGGCGGCTATTTAGTGCTTAGACCTGCGTGGTAGCTAAATATAATAACTATAACAATATTATAATTCGTAGGCCTGCATTTGTCATTTATTGCGCTAAATTTGATTTACTCATTTAAAAAACGGTTAGACTTGGGTATAGGATGATATTCATCAAATACGGGTACATTTACCTTACAACAGCCTTTGAGGGGGCCTGTTCATCCCCTTATGGGATATCCTTGTAACCGCTGATCTTGACTCCCCCTTGCTTCTTGCATTTTCCCTCTGTGCCATAATAGGATGTGTACGGGTACTCTTTATCTGTGAGCACTCCATGATATCTTGTGTAGTTGAAAGCGTAGTCCATCAACCCTCCATAACATCCCACGTTCACGTACTCATCTCTAGCACAGTCTATTAGATTTTGAACACTCAAAGGTGCTACTGTGCCATTCTTTAGGAAGATTAGACCTTCGATAGCTCCTACCTGCAAATATCAAAGTGTCGTTTGATGAACTTATGCAATGTTTATCCTAAGTTTGTCACAAACAGTGCCGTTTGATCTGGTCATGACCTGTCAGTAAAATGCCCTCTGATGAAACCTCTCCGTGTTAGACGTAGTAATTTAGTGCAGTTTGATGACTAGTAAGGGACTACCAGGCATCCATTCAGTTTTAATGGGTGACCGAGCCTTGTCAGGAGCAGGGGTACTACGTAACTTGAAAAGTTAGATTTTTTTGACATTATGTCATTTTTTTGGACATTATATAGATTTTTTATGACATTATGTAGATTTTCCAACATGGCGTCAATTTGGAACTAGCGGTTGTTCACTTCATGCTCACTTGTAGCAAGCACGGAATGAACTGTCTGTATACTAGCCTATTTAGTCATCAAGTTGATATTTTTTCGGTTTTTTGACGTACAGTGGTCGGTGACTTGTGGGAGACTGTTTCTCGGACCAGGCCGACTGAATTTCGTCTATATAGCGTAGCAGAACAGATACAATTTGTGACTGCCATACAAACAGGATTCTTATAGGTTTTTTACGTAATAATACTGCCGGCTTGTTGGACTAATACTGGACATTATTTAATATGAGCATTGTCCGTATCTTGGAATTCGTGATAAAGGTCAAAAAATCACCGCCGTTGTCGGGACAACATTAAAAACCTGTTAAACTCACAACAGACTGAGAGTCTGTGAAAATTTTAACAAGATTAGCATAAAAAACCATATTTTCTTCCTGACATTACTTATAATAATACACCTACGGCAAAAAGATTAGCCAACTACACTATTGAAAAAAATTAAAGGAGCAATAAAAAATCCAAATTTTTCGGAGATTTTAGAGTTGCTGTATATCTAGACTTGATAAAAGTATTTTGAACCTTTGAGATTCTAGTTTTCAGTCATTCTGGTCGAAAAAAATTTATTGTAAGTTTTGCCTTCTCAAATGTCCTCCACGGGCTTAAAACGTTTTTTTTTCTGTTAGGTCAACATATGGATCGGATACCTTCAATACTACGATACCTTTTTAAAATATTGTTACGATCTTTTGGCGCACAGATATCTAACTTTGAATGAAAAAGGATCCTTTTGAAATCGACCACTGATATCTCGGTAGCCAGTGATCGTACAGAGAATGTAAGGACATGAGTGAAGACTGGAATACATCTCAAAATTTGTTTAAATTTTGACCAACCAGAGAAACCTGACAATGGACCGATCTGCCGTCATTCAGAGTTATTGGGATATATTGAGGTATAAAAAAAATTAAAACCATTAGCCTTCTCATTGGCAGTTACAAAAATGCAAAACAAGACAAAAGTAACAGCTTTGACTATATTAACATCAATAATAAATGAACAAAAAAAAAATCCTCAAAGATTGCAACCAAATGTTATTGCAGTCTTATTCCAGTTTTTGAAAATACCCTTACATTCTCTGTGCGATCACTGTTTACCGAGATGTGGTCGATGACAAACGGATCCTTTTTCATTCAAAATCGAATATCTCCGCTCCAAATTACCATATCGGGATTTTACAAATGGAACATTGAAGCTGAATAATCGGGTTCCGAACCATATAATGTATTAACAGGAAAAATGTCAAATATTTTGCAAAACATTTTTCTTGTGCTGTCTGTTAGAATTGCATGAGAACCGTTGCTCCTACAATTTTTCGGTTAACAGACATGAAAACTAGAATATTGGAGATTCAGCATGCTTCTCTCAAAGTTTAGATGTTTAACTGGAAAGGGTGTATGCCGAAGATCACCGAAAAATTTTGAATTTTTGCTCCCTTAGTTTTGTTAGTATCGTACTACTAGGACGGTGCAGGAACAATTAAAGAATTTAAAATTCTTCCACATTGGTCAGGTTATAGAGGTTGCGATAAAATGACATTTAGGAAAATGATAACATCAAGTGATATAGCCGAGAATACTAAGGCTAGATCACCTCTCCAAAGATGAATAGCGAAACAACGAAACATTATTTGGAGAATACGGACGGGATTTGGACCGCCAACTAAAAAATGCTTTAGCAACGCACGCTTTACGGTACGTGCGCTTCAGCCAAGGATCAATTTCTCATACGTGGTTTTATCTGAAAAGGAAATATTTTTATTATTTAATCGTTGATACACCGTCCTTGTAGTGGTAGTCTAGTACTTTCAGCTAGTCCCGTTAACACCAGCAGCTGCAGGAAATAAGTAGGGTTACCTGTTTGGAATTAAGATGTTTCTTCAACGACTTAACTTCCACAATATTTAACCTAGGTTCAGATAAATGCAATACTTTTGGTATGCTGCTAACATTTCTGTGGATCTGATGCACTAACTAGTCTGCCCAGGTATACCTGAAGACACCACTTCTTATTAGTCGTCTCAAGCTTGTTCAACATTGAAAGGGCACTCGGTCAGTGATCTGCTTAGTATGCTAATGGACTTTTGTTTCTTTGAGTTCAAATTCGCGATCCCTCAGTGTTCTAGGCTTTTCAGTCGGCTGATTAGTTAACATAATAGTAGGTAACTTTTGAACTGATTGGGGCTGACATATATATTTCCAATTTATTCTAAGTCTTACTAAGGGGGCATACCAAAAGAAATATAAAGCTTACTGCACTAAAGGCCCAACAAGATTCGCAATGCCCTTGATCCTTCACTGTGGTCACAGCGCCCCTTGCTTTCCAATCTACTTCTTTCGGTAGATCTTCATTGTAATCCAGTAATGTTGAGTTATCGCCGCGATTCGGAATTTGGTCTTTCTGCAAGCTCAGCATTTGACCAAATTATTCCTGACTCAAGTCACCAAATTAGTTAATTCTCATCTAAAAGGTTTTCTCGCCATTGTTGAACATCTAGTAATGTTCATCTATCATTCGGAGTTTGGACTTGAAGACATCGAAACGTACCTCTTTTCCTCAAGGAGACTTCTGTAGGCTTTACCATGTTGCATCTAAGGTAGAAAGATGATTCATCAATGCTATATTGTCATGATTGACCACCCTATTATGAAGTTTGATCCCTAAGCTCCACCCCTCCAATAAAGCTACATTTAATTTGTTTTTCATTTTCTACTCAATCCCTTCTAACATAAAAGCCCTTGTTTGGAAAAGACTCCTCTACCGCAAATATCAGCTGCTAGTTACTGGAACATTTCTTTTCTAGAGGATGTGATTTTAATTTTGAAAATATTATGAAATTGCTGAGGTGCCAGGACTCGCAAATGCGGTTGGTAATTTACCAACTCAAAGCCTCCTTAGTGCATCCTTAGCTATACAGGTACGTCTGGGTGCAGTATCCTGATGAGATAATACGCCATTCACTAACTTGTCCAACGTTTGAAATAGAGTCAATTTTCTTTGGGGTGTGCTACGTAAAGGCACATAGCCGCCTACAAAAAAGCTGTGTGCTGCGGTTACTGTTGAGGTTTGATATTGATATAAAAGGTCAAACATAGCGTGATAAATTCTTAAGGTCCGATCGGGTTCCCCTGGCCGAGTTGCGGGTGCTCATGGAATCACCCTCGCATATGAATTGCGATTCAAATCACAAATTTTCTGAAAAAACGCAGAAAGCTTACAATGACGAGGGCTGTGATGGTTTATACTTACTTTGAATTGTTGCCATTCTTCGTGATCAGAGAGGCAATACGGTAGATATAACTATAAAAAGCTTCATGATTTTTTTCTAGTGCCTGGTCTGAGCTAAATTCAAAATCTTTTCGACTTTTTATACTGAATGTATAGTATAGACACTTAGAGATAAGTCACCGATGTAAGTGGTTTATAAAATGATTGAAGACCGTGGAAACGTAGTAATGATAAAATTCAAAATCTTGTTACAATCACAATAATTCAACGATGTATTACTGTCTTCCTAAAACCCTGGAAATTATTTATTATATCGACATGTGATTGATCGAGATACATATTTCTAGGTTTTAAGGGTAAATCAATATGGACGTCTATGATGACTGATGTGTATCTAATAGGTGCCAAGCCATTTTATACTACAATGTGTAGGTTGGTTCTTGCTGTGGACTTCGAGTGTGATTAAATTTTTTTCACTCTACATTTTCGTTTCCTCAAGTTACACCCGTATCCGGATGCATGGGCATGTGTATCTTCTTTGTGGTTGCATAGGTGCATTCATTTCGGGCCTGATGAAGCCAACCAGCAGAAATACGTATCGCTCGGATTACCTACCCCATTTTCTGATAGAATCCACTTTCCTTTTTGCAGATTTAGCCCATTATTTTCCTATTTTTTGTTATGTTGTCTTTTAAGTTTTGCATATGGAAATAAAGCAACACGGAAGGTTGTTTTAAATGACTTTGTTGTTTTTCGAAGTATTCTCCACGAAGATTAATACACATCTGCAAGTGCTCGAACCAATTTTCGAAGCACTTATTCCACTTGTTTGCTGGCAGATCCAAAACGGCATTTTTGAATGCGTCAACTGCTTCTTCTGGTGACTGGAACCTTTGCCCACGCAGCGTTTTTAATTTTCGGGGAAGTAAAGAAATCGATAGGACTTAGATCGGGACTATATGGAGGATGGTCCAATAATTCCACGTTTTCTTCCGTTAAATACTGCCTTGTTTTTTGGGCTGTGTGCGAGTTTGCATTGTCTTGGTGGAGGATGATTCTTCTTTCATGGTTGATTTTTCGAAGCTCGTAGATGACTTTTGGCAAACCAATGGTGGTATACCAATCCGCAGTAACAGTTCTTTGCTCATTAAGAGGAATTGTTGCAATATGACCCGCTTTTGACACAAATGTCACGACCATCTTTTCCGAAACACTTCGTGAACGGATGACTTTTGTTGGCTATTGTTCACCTTGGAACACCCAAACAGCCGACTGTCGTTTATTTTCTGGTTCATAACAGTCAAGCGTTTCTTGACACCAATTAACCCTGGCTGCTTTCTGCTCTTCAGTCAAGAGGTGGGGTATCCAACGAGAAACTAATTTTTATACTCCTAGTTCTTCATGTAAAATTTTTTGAACTGAGGTCTGTGAGATCCTCAAGGACGTTTTCCTGGGTGACTGCCGTTTTTGGTGCACTCACCCTGGGATAGACGCTAAGTCTCACCCGTCCACGTTTGAATGCTTCATACCAACGGGGAATTGTCGACTGATGTGGCGCTTCGTTGACATAACAGACAGTAACTCAGCAAGGCATTCTTGTTGCGATAATTGTCTCTGAAGGTTGTAATAAATTATGACGCGGAAATGTTCTCGGTTGAGTGCCATATTTCTAATGACTTGGTGACACTTAAAAATTCACGTATTGTTGAGAAACTTTGAATTCAAGTTTACAAAAGAGTGAGGTTAAGACTCTGTACTGACGTTCGATCCGCGCGGCCTACTATGTTTCCATATGCAAAACTTAAAAGACATCCCTCGTATACCTTGATGATTTTCTCTTTGTAGATCCTTTGGGCTTGAAGTCCCACAAGAAGAGGCTATAACCAGCCGCGTGGTTGTGGTTAGATGTCGCCTTGAAAATTCGAGGTCTTCTAGCCATTTTATATTGCAATGTGTAGGTTGGCTCTTGTTGTAGACTGCGTGTGTGATTTTTTATCCCTCTACATCTTAGGTTACACCTGTATCCGGAAGCACGGTCATGTGTATCTACTATTGTAGTTGCATATGTGTATTCATTTCGGACCTGATGAAGCCAACCACCAGAAATACATATCGCTCGGCTTACCTATCCTATTTTCTGCACGAATCCACTTTCCTGCTTTTTGCGGAATTTGCCCATTATTTTCTTATTTTTTGTTATCTACCTTTCTCGGCATGATCATTTTCTCTCGCTCTCTCTCTCTCTATTATATAAATATACAGGGTGGCCCATTCATGTGTGGACGGAATATTACTCATAAACAAATACATTTTTGGAAAATCTATGGCATGTTAGATATGAAATTTGAGGGCACATTTCTAAAATATTGGCAATTATACAGGGTATCCCAATTTTGACCTACATATCTAAGTTGTGATTTTTTAAATGGAATGGCTAAAATTTTATTGCATATTTGGATAAACCAATTCAAAAGAAGAATATTGTTATAACATACTATGGGGTTTTGGTAATTGACTACTGAGATGTTAGGTGTTTTGCCCGGAAAAATCGTCCACTTCGGCAACCACTCAGTACGCCATTTTGAAATTTGGAGTGTTGAATTTTGTATCTAAAAAAACTTACACGCCTCAGCTTTTATCTTATTTGTTACTTTTTCGAATTTTTATTTTTGCTTATACAGGGTGGTCAAAAACGCGAATTGTACTTTTTATCAAAACTTTCAAATGCCATCATATTTGTATATTTGTGCAAGTTTGGATTCAATTTTTTATAAGCTTTTTTTGGTATAAGGTTTAATCCAGATAAAATCACTAGATTTTGAGCTATTAAGCTTTTAATAATAATAATAATAATAATAATAATATTTATTCACTCAATGTACAAAGATAACAAACAATATGAGTAAATGAATATAAAATCAAAACAAGCCCAATAGAAGGCATCGCCTGTACATGGACCAATAATTTAAGTTGAAACTGTAGAATGCAAATGACAAAAAAGGACAAAAATTAGCTACAGTAGATTATGTATTTAGTTGATGTTCGTATTTATGAGTTTATGAATTTCAGTCCTACATATAGAATGTAGCCATTTTTTTAAATTTCTTTTTAAACAATTACCGAAACGTAAATCTTTTAAGTACAATTTCATAAAATTTATGCGCTAAATAGAGATATGATCGTTGCATTATAGATTTATGCGGTTGAGGAACTACTGTGCCACGAATTTTGTATCTGGTATAATGATTATGTTTAATTTTTTGGTCGGTGTTTACAAATTTATGGTAGTGAGTGATACTGTGTAAGAAATAAAGCTGTCTTATATCATACATTCGAACATCTGCGTATAATTTTTCAGTGGGATAAAGTTTCGGTTTTTTAAATATCATTTTTAGAATACTTTTTTGAAAAACCTCTAAATTATAGATATGTGAGGAACATGCAGCTCCCCATGCTAATATACCATATGTGAGATGAGGCTCAATCAGTGCATGGTATAATGTACGTAGATATTTTTCTGTCAATATATTCCCAAGGTATTTAATTTTGTAGGATACAAATCTAACTTTCTTTAAAATACAATTGACATGGATGTCCCATCGTAAGTGAGGATCCAAGACTACTCCAAGGTATTTTATGTTGGGCACTCTATTAATTTGCATTTTTTGATCATTAATGTTGAAGGAGAAATTTGTGTAATTGGGCAGATGTCTAGCATAAGATCCAAATGGTAAAAAATGTGTTTTAGAGTAGAAAAGTAGTAGAACAACACATCAAAATTAAGGAAAAAAATCACATCATCCATGGAAACAAAAGACAAAGAGTGGGCTAGTTTCACATTACCACTAAGAGTACAATTTGACGTAAAAACTAATAACAATCAGAACAGTATAAATCAGCTTCAAGCGTAATAGAGAAAAACAACTATAACAACAACATAAACAACTATCACTACTCAGGACCTAATCTACAAAAACTGCTCGAAAATATCTCCACCATGTTGAATACACAGCCGTAGTCTTTGGATAAATAACCGTTGCACATCCCTCAGTATATGTTCCCTTATGTTCAGAAAAGCATCCTTAATCCTTTCCTTCATATTTTCCGGGGTAGATGGTGGATATCTGTAAACCTCTTTCTTAACGTAGCCCCATAGAAAGAAGTCCATCGGTCTCATATCTGGTGAT